ACTGAAGGGTAAAATGAACCCTAAACCACAGTTAAGTGTTAGGTATATAGTAGGTTTGTAAAAAATAATAGCTTCCTTTTTCTCCCTTTCTTACTGCCTGCATGTTGACTTTTATGGTGTCAATGCCTATCTTGCCTTTATTATTAAAGATGAAATATAAGATATTACACATTGACTGTATTTCAAATTAAAAGCTTGAGATAACCTTATTACTATTGTGCATTTATCCAACTTTAGGATGGATGGAGAAATAAAGAGATAGATAGACAGATATAAACATAAATACATGTATATAAGCCAGTACAAAAAAAAGTGTGAAAGACTGGAAATCCTTTTTCTTCACAAAACATCATTAGGAAGCCAAAGAGGTTTAATATCATTATGATAAAGATTGTTTAATCGAACATGCATTTATCTTGCTTTGTTTTTTTCCAGGTGAACAGAGCAGAAAGTGCAGAGCAGGCACTAGAACAGGATTTCAACCTCAACTCCACTCACTAGCTATATAACCCCAATCATACAACTCAATCCTTCTGAGCCTCAGTCTCCTCATCTAATGATATCTATCCACCTTACAAGGCTACAGAGAAAGTAGAGGCAATGTAGGTGAGGCATGGAATGCTATACCTCTAAGTGCTAAATATTGTGATAGTTTTCAGTTCTAATTATATTCTTCTACCCATGACCAAATTATAGAAATACCTCATTGCAGAAAAGATATTCCCATCCATGTGAAATGAAAAATAAAGCTCTAAATTAGAAAAAAAAATATTGGGAATATAAAAGTATCAGTGGGAGTTCAGTTATAGATAACAAAAGGCAGTTTAGTTCTTTTAAAAAGAAAGGGGTTTCTTTCAAGGAAATGGGTGCTCACATCATTAGAAAGTCTAGAGAAGCAGGGTCTAAGCTTGGCACCCTGATGAGCAACACAAGACTGGCCAAACTGGGGGAGTCGCTGCTCTGCCAGAAAGGAAGCTTGAAAATAAAGAATGGGCACAGCAACTGCAGGCTCCAGGAAAACATACCGTCCATCTAGGGTCAGAAGCCATGACCAGATGGTTGGCTCCAGAGCAGGATTGCTGGATAAAACACAGGATGCCCATTGGAATCTGAATTTCTGATCAACAACATTTTCTTTTGGAAATGTGTTTCTGAAACTAAATTTTAAAATAAGTTTTAGTAGAAGTATGTCCCACATAATAGTCAGGATGTGCTTACACTAAAAAAGAAAAAAATCTTGTTGACTTGAAATTCTAATTTAACTGAGTGTCCTGTGTTTAACTGGGATCCCTGAATTATTTGTAATTTGTCTGAAATTCAAATTGAACCAGATTGTATTTGTTTTTTGTGTTATTACAAAGAATGCCTGAGACTGGATAATTTATAAAGAGATTTAATCAGCTCACAGTTCTGCAGGCTGTACAAGCAGGGTGCCAACATTTGCACAGCTTCTAGTGAGGGCCTCAGGAAACTTACAATCATGAGGGAAGGTGAAGTGTGAGCAGGCACATAGTGAGAGCCAGAACAAGAATGGGAGAAGAAGGAGCCAGCCTCCTTTAAACAACAGTTTTCCAGTCCTTTGTAGGGACATGGATGAACCTGGAAACCATCATTCTCAGCAAACTGACACAAGAGCAGAAAATCAAACACTGCATGTTCTCACTCATAGGCAGGTGTTGAACAATGTGAACACATGGACACGGGGAGGGGAGCACTACACACTGGGGTCCATTGGGGGGAAATGGGGGAGGGATGGGGGGTGGGGAGGTGGGGAGAGATAGCATGGGGAGAAATGACAGATATAGGTGATGGGAAGGAAGGCAGCAAACCACACTGCCATGTGTGTACCTATGCAACAATCTTGCATGTTCTTCACATGTACCCCAAAACCTAAAATGCAATTAAAAAAAAAACTAACTGAGGGAGAACTCAGTTATCTCCAAGAAGGTGGTGCTATACCCTTCCTGAGCAATCTGTACCCAGGATCCAATCACCTTCCACCAAGTCCCATCTCCAACACTGGAGATCACATTACAACATAAGATTTAAAGGTGACAAACCCAAACCATACTACAGGTATTCTATATTTTTATTTGCTAAATTGGACAACTCTACTCTAGCCAATGGTTTTAGCATGAACAGAAGGGTGCTTTGCACGATACTGTCTCAGTTCAGCCTCATCAGATTGCATCAAAATGGCAGAAACTAAATCACATTAGGAACTCTGCTGGATGCAACAACATTTGGGAGACAAAACTTTTAGCTTTCAGTCTCTGTCTTAAGGAAGTCTGAAGGGCATATGACAAGCAGATAATTCAAAGCACAATATCTATACAATAATAAAGATCCCTGGTATTTGCAACTTCTGTATTATTTAACAAATATTTTATATGAGCATAAATTAGCTGCCAGGCACTACAGGCATTGGAGATGCAGCACTTCACAAAAAAGACAAAATTCCTGTCTTTATAAAGCTTATATTCTAGTAAAAAAAAAACCACACACACAAATTAACCAAAAAACCCCACAAAATTACAGAAGTACATAAAATTGAAAAAGTTATCTATAATTCTACCACTCTTCTTTTATCTTAATGTGTAAAAAAAATAATAAAGTAAAAAACTTCTGCTCCCTTTCTCCCTTCAATTTTACTTCCCAGAGATAATCATCAGTAGCAGTTCTGTGTGTGCGTTTGTGTTCTTACCGTAAATAAATGAAACCCAACCACTAAGCTCTACAAAAGTGAGAAGTATGTAGACTCAGGAACCTGCTAAAGGGATCTAAACCACACAAAGCTAATTAGAAAAGATGAAATCTGGGCATGAGTGCCTGATTTAGTTACTATGACCTCCTGAAGCTACTTTCTCCCTTGTTCCTCATCCTCTCAATCCTTCTTTCATCCTGCTATCCTTCCCTTTATCTGCCCTGGATCTTCCAACTGTGAGAGTGGAGCACATACAGGACAAGGTAAACCTTCTTCTGTAGAGTACTGATCAGTTTTCATATGTCCAATTTTATCGGAGATGCTAAAATATCTGCACTCCACTAATGTGAAGACAGAGGGAGAAAAAAATGACTGAGGAAAAAAATCTTTCTTTCTCTATCTCATTCTGGGTACATAGCTTTATTTTCCTCCTATCATTTAATCACAAAAACTCTGTTCCAGCCCTTCTCCAAAATATGCTTATTTTCCCACTGCTATATCTCTGTCCTGACCTTCGGTCAGTATAGAGGGTCTTACTATTCAACACCTCTCTCCATGAGCCTTAACCCCTGCTCAGGACCAGCTTAAATGCCTCTTCCTCAAAGCTGCCACCTTAGATCCTGAGACAGGTTTTATTTATTTAAGTGCAAGTAGTTTACCTGGGAGGAAATCCTAGCACCCTGTTGTCCTTGCCAAGGGAGAGGGTAAGAAAGGGAAGGGGAAAAGCTGACAAAAGGTCTGGCTACAGAGGAAATTATATGGTGGGCCACTGGAGCTCAATCCCACTGGGGAAGTCAGGGAGAGCTATCCCCTCAAGAGGCAAGGGAGCTGAGAGTTTGTCCTCTAATTCCCTTCTGTCATTAGCTGAAGGTTGCTCCTAGTGTCATTAACTCCTCTTCAGGAGGCCTGGCCTGAGCATGGACTGAGAGAAATAAATGTTTCCAGTGGAAAATCACAGGTGCTTGCAATAGGATTCTGTCCGTGCATGCAGAAACTGCGGGTGCCAAAAGTATATGACCCAGGGGACATATGGCATTTTGCAAAATTAGACTTGTTTTGTCCTACTGTGCTCTCATGACTGGTGGATTGTATCATTTCCCCAACAGTTATCACATCCTGCCTTGTGTTACAAGTATTTGTGAACAGTTAGAAAAAAATATTAAATTACTGTCTTAGCCTGGTCTCCCCCAGAGAGACCAGAGCATTTGCTTGAGGCAAACGCTTCTGTGTTACTATTTTATCGATAAGAACAATCCCAGGAAAGCAGGGACACTGAGAAAGGAGAGTGAGGCAGGGAAGACAGAAGCACCAGCATGAGGTGTGTTTTCAAAGTGGCCACCAGTAAGTGCAACTGATTGCATAATCACCCAGGACCATCCTCCAGGGAGCTGTGTACCATCACCAAAAAATGTTCATTGGACAGGGACTGTCCCCTGCACATCCACAGCACATAGGAGCAGGCACTGAGGATCCCACAGCCTCTATCACCTCATTCAACAGAGAAGCCTCAGGGCAGTTAACGAGAAATGTATGGTACAGGCAGGAGGTGAGGGACAGTCTGCGGCTGCACAAGGTTGGTCCGAATCTCATCTGCGGCTGGGCAAGAGACGAATGGGCCTGAAGATAAGTGAGAGCAAGAGAATCTGAAGCAGCTTATTAAATTTGTCTGATTTACCAAGTGAAATAACTCACTAGAGATGATTCAATCCTAATACAGACCCACACACCTTATCAACGAAATTATCCTGAAATAGTATCAAGGAAAAATATCCTGATCCCGCCTATAATCCCAACACTTGGGGAAGCCAAGATGGGAGAATAACTTGAGCCCAGGAGCTCAAGACAAGATCACAAGACTCCGCCTCTACAAAAAATAAAAATGTAGCCAGGCATAGTGTTGCATGCCTGTAGTCCTAGCTACTTGGGAGGCGGACGCAAGACGATCACTTGAGCAGAGAAGGTCACGGCTACAGTGAGCTATGATCAGGACACTGCACTCCAGCCTGGGTGACAGAGAAAGATCCTGTCTCTAAAGAAGAATTACTTAATTAATTAAAATAAAAATCAACTTACATGTGTATACAGGTTTTATATGTATTTATGATAGCTGCATTAAAGAGGCAGAAGAAACTATCTCAAGGAAACATTATGTTCAAAATCTTTATAGGTGCTGTCCTAGGAGGCAGGCCACATGTAAAAGAGAAACACATTTGTCTGTTGGAAGAATATAGGTATCATGAAGAATACTGACCAGTATATACACTGTTTAAAGGAAAAGAGGAGTGTTGTAATTGAGTTCAGTTTTTTATAGTCATCAGTTCTATGTTTGTTTGTTTTTTTTAATCTGTATACTATTGAATACATTATCAGCAAGGATCGATGAAAAGTTTGATGACACTTTTTCTACAATATATAGTATTATTTCAAACAGAATTACTTTAAAGAAAATATTTGAAATGTTAAGAAACATTCCTATTTAATTCCTTAAGAAACATTTTCGTTTAAATTCTGCAACCTTAGAAAAATTTCAGTTTTCAAGGTATTCTAAATATGCAGAAAATGACATATAAGTTTTATCATTAATGTATAACAAGCATTTTATTAAAATGCATAGAGGATTATAAGGAAGACTAAGCATAATGAATACAATAATGAAAATGGTGGAACATTTTGGACAACAAAGACCTTTCAGTTTCAGAGAGAACAGCTGTGTAAACTACTACAGCAACCACGGTCTGTGTAATCATGTGACTGGGGCATAGTCTTCAAGATCAAGTGCTTGGTTATAGTCAGCCATAGCTTCCTCACTCAGACCTATTTTACCACGAACTTTTGCTCTAAAATTATATACTAGAGCATCATTAGGCTTCAAAGACAGGGCTGCAAAAAAAAATTCAAGGTATGTTTAAGCTAGCACTCAAAAAGTAGTCTCATTTTCTTACAAATAAAAGTTATATAAGAACTTTTTAAAACAATTAATGGATGAAATCAAGAACTTTAATGCTTTTTATTTGACAACGTTTTTCTTTAAACAACTATTTAGTTAAAAATATTGAATCTTTCTAAGCAAACTAACTTAAAAAACAGTACAATGTCTTTCTTTGAAAAGTTGGCATTGTTTGTATATGGTTTTGTAATAATTCTCTATATCTCAGTTTAAGAGAGCTTTAAGTTAAGCTATTACATAAAGGAACCTATATTGATTATATTAAGGGCATGATATCTAAAAACACTAATTCTTATGTAAGTTTATCTACATAAATAGACTTGATTTTCTTCTTTTGTAGCCTAAAAATAATCATTTCAACCACTGTAATCTTACCAAAATAATTACAGAAAATGTACCTTTATTAAGATCTTCCTCAGCTAGTTCATATTGTTTTAAGCAGTAGTAGAAATGTGCTCTATTAAAGTATACTGCAGCCCAAAAGGGACATCTTTCAATTACATTTGCAAAATCTTCTTTTGCTTCTTCATATTTCTTTAATATTGTATTTGCAATAGCTCGATTCATGAGAACATATTCATTTTCTGGATCAAATTTTAAAGCTTTTGAGAAGTAGTCACTGGCCTACAAAATGTGAAGAGAATAATAACTTGAATATATTTTAATTGGTAACTAAGTACAGAAATCCGAAGCACTTCTACTCTTAATTTTAAAGTAAGGCCAGTGGCATACCAATGGGACAACAGAAGCATTTTATCCCAGGTACAGGGGTGCATTGTCTGCAGATAATGTAAAAGGCAATAATAAACCCAACCAAAAAGTTGATCTACTTTTTGTTATTACCATGTGTAGGCAATTCTAGACTATGTCAATGACATAGTACTCCTGTTTGTTGGGTTAAAATCCTCCCACTGGTTGGGTGGGGTGCTGTGGCTCACAACTATAATCCCAACACTCTGGGATTTTGAGGCAGCAGATCACCTGAGGTCAGGAGTTTCAGATAAACCTGGCCAACATGGTGAAACCCCATTTCTACTAAAAATACAAAACTTATCTGGGCATGGTGGCAGGCACCTGTAATCCCAGCTATTCAGGAGGCTGAGGCAGAATAATTGCTTGAACCCAAGAGGTGGAGGTTGCAGTGAGTGGAGGTCGCACCACTGCACTCCCACCTGGGCAACAGAGCGAGACTCCATGTCAGAAAAAAAAAAAAAAATGCTCCCACTGCCTGTTACCACAAATCCCAGATCCCTATATAGAACTAAAAAATGTTAAAACATATATTAGAAAAGAAGGCCACAACAATAGGATAAAATACAAATTAGAAAAGTAACACTTTTATAGCATTTTGACATGGCTATGACATTCTAGCACATGATCATATTTCTATTAATTCATTTTTATTGGATTTTAGCAATGTGTATTGATTTACAATATACTAAAATTTTTTTAACTGGCCTTTCATCACAAATAGTTGAGATGCTGATTAGACATCCTGCTACTCAACTGAGAAATCTCTAACTACCTGAAGGATGGAACGTGGCTTCTACTTTAAAATCTATCTTTAAGAGAAAGTCACTTTTCACAGTACAGCTTGCCACTCGCCAATTACTTAACACTCAATTTTTTTCCAACCAAACACTATTTGGCTTCCATTTCCCCCTATTTCATGAATTCCATTCTTGCTAAAGTTGCAGATGTCCTCAAGCCTAGTGGACCCATTCTAGTTCTTGTCTTTCAGGACATTTCTGCGGCATTGGACACCTTTGGTCTCTCCTTCCCTAAAATTATCTCTGTCACTGAACTATTTTCTTCTATTTTTTTCGAAGATCTGTCCGCTATTCACTTCCATTATAGGTGAAACGGAACACTGATTGCACAGTCTCTGAGAGCCCAGACCACAGAGTCAGATTGCTGGGTTTATATCCTGCCTCTACTAAAACTCTATTTGCATCAATTTTCTCAACTGTAAAACAAAGGTAACAAATAAAACTTCATTTCCAGGGTTGATGTGAGGATTAAGTGAACTGATATGCAATGTACTGAGAACAATATGCAGAAAATAGTAAGGACTCAATCAATTATTACTGATATATCATGTTTTTCCCAGTGTTTATATATGGAGAAGGAACATCGAATTTAGGCAATATGCCAGGAAATTTGCTTCCTCTTACTTTTAAGAGGTAATTAGCTCAAGATATATAATCCATCTCATCATCCCTGGCACAGGTTTGAGGGACGGGGGACAGAATTGGCATCCTTCTGTGAAGAGCTTGAAGAGGATTCACTCCTGAAAGGAAGGCTGCTCCCCAATCCTCAGAAATGAGATAAAGAAAGACTCCAAGCCAGGCCAAGACTTTCTTCCTAAAGTGATTTAGACTTCATTTTAATTCATTAAAAAATTATCAATAAGGGATATAAAATTATACATCATAAAAGCATACCTTCAATCATGTCGGAGCAAATTCCTTTTCTCAGGTAAGAGAAAAGAACTTTGAACTGCATAACTTTCTACTATAGCTTCCAAATATATTAGAAAATGAAATCTATACATTTAATGAGGTTACTTGAAGTATCAGAATATTAAACATGAAGCAATTAGAGGCTAAAGGCATCTACCACAACAAATGGCCTTGAGTTTTAAATAATTGGTCTAATGTTCTTATGTTGTGATTAATTAAAAAGCAGATCCAGTTTTTTTTAAAGTCACTTGTAGTTCATAATGCATGCAAGTAGCACATCCAAATGTGGTTTAAAATCATTAAATCACATTAAGTGGTTACAATAAGCTACTAAAGATAAAAGAAGCCAGATCACATACATTTTTTAATGCTCTAGAGTTTATTAGATCAGTTGAGGGACCCTTCCTCCTAGCCTAAGCCTTACCTCCATTATAGTCAGAAATAGGGGGATGAGGGTGAAGAGTGACAGGGAATAGAGCCATTTTCTCCACAAAGGAAGCCCAAAACATAGTAGAATAGCTGAATATCAATTCCCAAAGCCTGCTAGTCTCTGGAGGGAGTGTGCACTGTAAAGCTCAAGCATCCAGTATATTAAATCAAAGGATGGAACACACTTTACATAAAATATTTGCCCAGATACTTTGTCTATACTTTGGAGAAAATAGAGCCATACTTATAAAAACGATTTAAACTACACTTTAGATCTAACCAAATAATTTTCTACATGATGCCCATACAGTTATCAAAGACAAATGAGTAAAAAAGGTGAAGGTCTTCCTTTCATGCAGATCTTAAACATCTATGGAAACAGAAAATTACCCTGGGCATTTTATTTGCCTTAATCACATTAACTAACTACAATGCAGATAAGCATATCTAGGATCCAGCCAGAGGGTGATCTGAGTTTGATTAAGTTAGAGACAACTGATACTTGAGCAAAACTGACAGTATTAGATGACAATAGCTTAGGATGTAAGGAAAAGAAAGCTATGGTTGACTCTGACATTTCTATTCAAATGACTTTATGGAAGATGACAACTCGAATTGAAAGAGGATTTATATGAAGAAAGCTCAGCTAAGGATAATGGAAAGAGTTCAATTTAGACTGGGCTTTAATGAACTTGAAAAACATACAATTTTGGCAACTCTGAAATATGGATTAGGAGATCAGAAGAAAGAAGGATGGTTTCAAGTAGTGTATGTCATAAGAATAAATGGACTTTCTGTGTAGAGAAATGTAGAGATAAGAGGGCAGAGTGTGATTCCTGCACTTTAACAGCTTACAGAGTAAGGAGAAAAGAGAGCAACACAGAAACAACTGTATGACATAAAGCAGTATTGAATCTGTATAAAATGAATTATATACAAAACAAGAAAGACTCCTCAAGATCTTAAAGTTTAAAACTACAAACCTCAAATTTAAGACTTAATGTTGTTACTATACTCTAATATGTTCATCTTACCACTCAATTAGTTCACATTTCTCTTTTCTCTTTAAAACTTCTAGCCATCTTGTCCCTCTTTCTTTTTTTTTTTTAATTTTATTTTTTTTATTGCATTTTAGGTTTTGGGGTACATGTGATGAACATGCAAGATTGTTGCATAGGTACACACATGGCAGTGTGGTTTGCTGCCTTCCATCCCCTCACCTGTATCTGTCATTTCTCCCCATGCTATCTCTTCCCTCCTCCCCACCCCCCCACCCCTCCCCCATTTCCCCCCAACAGACCCCAGTGTGTAGTGCTCCCCTCCCTGTGTTCATGTGTTCTCATTGTTCAACACCCGCCTATGAGCGAGAATATACGGTGTTTGATTTTCTGCTCTTGTGTCAGTTTGCTGAGAATGATGGTTTTCAGGTTCATCCATGTCCCTACAAAGGACGTGAACTCATCCTTTTTGATGGCTGTGTAATATTCCATGGTGTATATGTACCACATTTTCCCTATCCAGTCTATCATCGTTGGGCATTTGGGTTGGTTCCAGGTCTTTGCTATTGTAAACAGTGCTGCAATGAACATTCGTGTGCACGTGTCCTTGTAGTAGAATGATTTATAATCCTTTGGATATATACCCAGTAATGGGATTGCTGGGTCAAATGGGATTTCTATTTTTAGGTCCTTGAGGAATCGCCACACTGTCTTCCACAATGGTTGAATTAATTTACATTCCCACCAACAGTGTAAAAGTGTTCCTATTTCTCCACATCCTTTCCAGCATCTGCTGTTTCCAGATTTTTTAATGATCGCCATTCTAACTGGTGTGAGATGGTATCTCAATGTGGTTTTGATTTGCATTTCTCTGATGACCAGTGATGATGAGCATTTTTTCATATGTTTGTTGGCCTCCTGTATGTCTTCTTTTGTCCTCTTTCAGGAGTTCTTGTAGAGCAGGTTTGGTGGTGATGAAATCTCTGAGTGCTTGCTTGTTCACAAAGGATTTTATTTTTCCTTCACTTATGAAGCTTAGTTTGGCTGGATAGGAGATTCTGGGTTGAAAGTTCTTTTCTTTAAGGATGTTGAATATTGGCCCCCAATCTCTTCTGGCTTGTAGGGTTTCTGCTGAGAGATCCGCTGTGAGTCTAATGGGCTTCCCTTTGTGGGTAACCCGACCTTTCTCTCTGGCTGCCCTTAGCATTTTCTCTTTCGTTTCAACCCTGGTGAATCTGACGATTATGTGCCTTGGGGTTGCTCTTCTTGAGGAATATCTTTGTGGTGTTCTCTGTATTTCCTGGATTTGAATATTGGTCTGCCTTGCTAGGTTGGGGAAGTTTTCCTGGATAATATGCTGAAGAGTATTTTCCAGCTTGGATTCATTCTCTTCATCACATTCAGGTACACCTATCAGACGTAGATTAGGTCTTTTCACATAGTCCCACATTTCTTGAAGATTTTGTTCATTCCTTTTTGCGCTTTTTTCTCTGTTCTTGCCTTCTCTTTTTATTTCATTGAGTTGATCTTCGACCTCTGATATCCTTTCTTCTGCTTGGTCAATTCGGCTGTTGAAGCTTGTGCATGCTTCACGAAGTTCTCGTGTTGCGTTTTTCAGCTCCATCAATTCACTTATACTCCTCTCTATGCTGTCCATACTTGTCAGCAGTTTGTCCAATCTTTTTTCAAGGTTCCTATTTTCTTTGCTTTGGGTTAGAACATGTTCTTTTAGCTC